TCAGCCTTCCAAGTAGCTGGAACTATAAGCATACAATACCACGCCCAGCTGATGTTTGATTTATGTAGAGATGAGGGCTCGCCAAGTGGCCCAGGTGGGTCTTGAACCCGCGGGCTCAGGCAATCCACTCACCTCAGCCTCCCAAAGTACTGGGATTACAGGCTGAGTCACCGAGCCTGGTTTATTTTTTTTTATTTTTTTATTTTTTATTTTTTGAGTTGGAGTCTCACTCTGTCGCCCAGACTGGAGTGCAGTGGCCGCTCCCGGCCACCGCAGCCTCGACCTGCTGGGCTCCGGCGATCCTTCCGCCTCAGCCTTCCAAGTAGCCGGAATTACAGGCGTGCGCTACCATGCCCGGCTGATTTTTTGATTTATTGTAGAGATGAGGTCTCGTTGCCCAGACGGGTCTCGAACCCGCGGGCTCAGGCAATCCACTCACCTCAGCCTCCCAAAGGCGCGGGATTACAGGCTGAGCCACTGAGTCCGGCATTGTCGGTCTCTTTTATTTCCTCTTCTTGTAGGTTGCATGCTCCTGGGAACATGAACTTGTCTGGTTGCTTGTAGGTAGGGCAAGTCCCAGAGCAAATAACTGTTTAATTAGTCATCTCATTGAGCAGGGGGTGCCATGGGGTAGGGCTGAGCCTTCCACTCTGAACCATCAGTAAAGCTGGGTTTGTTCCTGGTCCTGTGACTGACTCACCAGGTAGCCTGAATAAATTATGTCATCTTTCACTTGTCACCTATCTGCCCAATAAAGGAATTCTGTGGATTAATTCTGAATGACATCATGCGGGGGAAGACAGAGATCCCTTTTCCAAGAAGGCTATTTAATTGCTATGGCTGTTCATTTCAAGGCAAATGAGTAATATTAGGCCAGTGTGCCACAAGCCACATACCTGAGTCCTTGGAAGGCTGAGAAAAATGTGGTGAAGTTTGGGGCCAAAACTATTTTTCAGCAGTAGTTGCCAATTTTAATATCTATGGAATGGTCCAGGCTTGGTGGCTCAGCCTGTAATCCCAGCACTGTGGGAGGCTGAGATACATGGATTGCCTGAGCCTGTGGGTTCGAGACCAACCCAGGCAACTTGGTGAGACCTTGTCTCCACAATAAATCAAAAATTAGCTGAGCATGGTAGTAGACACCTGTAGTTCCAGCTATTTGGAAGGCTGAGGTGGAGGGATCACTGGAACCCAGCAGGTTGACGCTGGGGTGGCCGTGAGTGTGCCACCGCACTCCAGCCTGGGCAATAGAGTGAGACTCCAACTCAAAAAAAAAAATCTATAGAATGACTCAACCTGCCTCCTTTTCTCAGCCTTCCAAGGACTCAGTTATGTGGCTTGTGGCACACTGGCCTAATATTACTAGAAGCCCTTAAAATTGGCAGCTTTTGAAAGGCAAGAAGGGCAAAACAAATGGATTTCTAGTTTTCATTTGATAGACCCATTCTGACTTCATATATTTTTTAAATGTCTTAGTTATTTTTGTAATGGCACTGTGCCCTACAGAAGTCCATTCTAAGTATTGAGTACAAAACAGAATTTCTTGATCCTCTTACTCAATACTAAATATTATAAAAGCTTTACAGATATTCCCCCTCATCCTCAGAAAATATGTGCAATTCATTCAGCAAGAGTCTATTAATCCTAGATTCTATTTCAGATGGCATTTTAGAGGGAGAGTCAGGCAGCAATGAAATAAAACACAAGTAAGAAGTCGGGCTCGGTGGCTCAGCCTGTAATCCTGCACCTTGGGAGGCTGAGGTGAGTGGATTGCCTGAGCCCGCGGGTTCAAGACCCACCTGGGCAACTTGG